GCCTTATTGACAGCCCGAACCCGATACTCATAAGTATGACCTTCCTGTACACGATCATCGGTAAAGCTGGTACCTTTCACAGGTTCAGTATTCACTTTGATCCAGCGTCCGGTCTTCAGATCTTTTCGCTCGATATCATAATGCGATATGGGATTACCACCGTCATCTTTGGGCGGGTCCCATTCAATGTCAATATGATCCACATCATGATCAGTAACAGTTGGTCGCCCTGGTTTGTCCGGAGTGCCGAATGGATCTTTTGCAGTTATTGGCGAATCGGTGTTTAGTGGATCGGACCGGCCATTTGCGTTCTCAGCCATGACTCTAAATTCGTACTGATGCCCTTCAGATAATTTCGAAACTGTAGCTGTGGTTCCAGGAACAAATGTTGATACTGGTACCCAAGTATTTGACTGCAAATCACGTTTCTCCACAACGTAATTCATGATTTCCGCTCCACCATCATCTTCCGGCGGTTGCCAGCTCAGGACACACCCGTCTTTGGTCACATCAGTAACTTCAATTGGTCCTTTTGGTGGTGAAGGCCGATCCTGTACAATGACCTCAAAAATTCCTGAAGTGTCGCCAACTTCATTTTTTAATTTTAGTGTATAACTACCACCTTCAGACCGTTTAGCAGATGGAATAAAGAAACTTGTTGTGCTTGACAGCACTCCGGCCTTCGTACTTACCAGAAGGTTCTCGCCCAAAGGTTGACCTTCCCGGAATTCCCAGGCTACCGATGGGTCTGGAGAACCAATGTATTCCGCCTCGACGGTCAAAGACAAACCCGCCTTTACCTTAAATTTTCGTGTTTGTGATATAATTTCCGGTTTAACATATCGAGGACGAGCCATTTGAGCGTCCGAAGGCTCTGATGGATCCGACGGACCAGCATCGTTCACAGCAATTACCCGAAATTCATATTCTGATCCAGGTTTGAGGTTGTTCGCAGAAAATGATGTCTTTGCACCGTTGGTCCTTCCAGTTTCTATCCACACCGAACTCCCTTTCTCTTTTTTTTCAATCAAATATTCCTTGATGGGTAGCCCACCCGTGTCACTTGGAGGCTTCCATTCGATGTCGATTCTGTCTTTATCCCAGTCGGTAACTTCTGGCTTCGATGTTGGTTGTGGAACATCAAACTGATTCCTTGCAATCATTTCTTCGGTTTCTAGCGGTTTTGACTCCCCCTGCATGTTAACTGCTTTGATGCGAAACTTATATTCCTTACCATTGATTAATTTCGATACTTTAGCGGTGCAATCAGGGAAGTGACCCACTTCTTGCCAAGTACCGCGAGTGGTATCCATTTTCTCAACCACATAATGCATGATATCAGACCCGCCGTCATCCTCTGGGGGTTTCCATTTCAACGTGCAGCCTTCTTTGCTTATATCGCTAATTTTTGCTGGTCCTTGCGGCGTTCCCGGTACGTCCAGCACGGTCACAGTACACGACGCTTTATCCCTGCCATGTTCGTTTTCCACATGGATTGTATAAATACCAGTATCAGCACGGACCGACGAAGGTATCAGAATTTCGCTTGTTTTATCTTTCGTAATAACTTCAGCTCGACCAGAACCCGTGAATTCAGAGTCATTGATTTTCCAGGATGCTTTCGGTGTTGGTTCCCCTTCGTAATCCACGTTCAGGTGAATTGGTGATCCAGCCCGGACACGAATATCCAAAAGCCCAGCCAAATTGATTTTTGGTGCAAGTTTTCTAGGTTTTGCAATAATTTCACCGGTTGGATCCGACGGTTCACCTTTTCCAGCCTTATTTACAGCTCTAACGCGGAACTGGTATGTTTCACCAGAAACCAAATTAGCTGCAGTAGCCTTAGTCATGTTGCCTGGAACAGTTGCGCATGGTACCCAGTCACCAAATTTTTCCTTTTTTTCCACTATGTAGCTTTCGATTGGTGCACCACCATCGTTTTGTGGTGGTTTCCATTCCAGATCAACGTGGTCTTTATCCCAATCTACTGCGGTGACGTCTGTGGGTGCCCCTGGTTCATCAAATGGATTCTTTGCTGTAATTGGATAATCCGAGGTCAGAGGTTGAGACTCGCCTTGACGGTTCACGGCTTTCACCCGGAATTTGTATTCTTTTCCTTCGACAAGCTTATTTACGCGCAGACCGGTATCTGATGTTTCTCCACATGGTACCCAACGACCATTAGCTTCCTGTTTTTCCACGACGTAGTGTGAAATGGGCGATCCACCATCGTCATCCGGCGGATTCCACTGTACTGTACAAGAATCCTTCGTGACGTCTTTAGCTTCCAAAGGACCTTTCGGACTGCCTGGAATGTCAAGCACCACAACTTTCACTTCTGCTTCATCTCTGCCGTTTTCGTTCGTCGCGACAATCTTA